TGTCTTCTTCTCACATTATCTTTGGTTAATTTGTTTGATTCTCTGTCAGCTTTTCCACACAGTACTGAATAGGTTGTTAGGAAAAGGTGTGTGGGTTCCCGGTGCTTGTAGAGACAGGGCTCATCCTTGGCTGATTTACGGAGATAAGAACCCTTTGATTTGACAGCCCTGCTCTGGGTTGAACCCTGTTGCCTTGCCCTGGGGTATGTTCACCAAAGATGTCCGTTCCTGACAAACAAAGCCCATGGCCACCTTCCTCTCCATCAGCACAGTGGAATGCCAAGCATTCTGCTTTCAGTAAATACCACAATCCTCCACTGTGAAACCTCTACCTGACCCTGGTGACTCCAAAATGCTGACAGTGAATATCCACTGTCACTAGCAAATTGAGCCAAAGGAGGATAAATAGATCCCCTGTAAACAGAATGAATACTGTTTAACTTTCTTAATTGATAAGATGGTACTTTTCCATTAAAAATTCTAGGCACTTGGAATTCAGCAAGTTCTTAACAATAAATGTATGTGTTCAAGGTCACGGTGCACATGATACATTTTCATACTTTCTGCAATAGCGAGTCCGGGGGTTTAAATCATCACCCGGGGAAAAGCCTGGATAGGCTCGTTCCAGGGCTCCTAGAATTGTTGGTTTCTGAAATTGCCTGTGTAAATCACAGGGGTTTTTAACAGCTTCATCGTTAGACAGGAACAGCCCAGCTTTCTGTAACCATCCTCCTTAATTTCGATGAAATAACTGGTGATGATTAGAAATTTAGAATGTGATTCTTAGAAAAAAATATCACCAAATAATTCACTGACTGCAACTGGAAATAATGACCCATTTCCATCATTAATATTATTGGTGTGCATTTATGTGTGCATGTGTGTGTGTATACCTTTGACTAAAGGTCAATCTTTGTGTTAAAAATAGAAAAACAAAACCCATAATTCAGAGTTCCTGTTCACTCAGCAAATGCTTTAGGAGGTTGCTGACAGGTTAAATATAGTAACCTTTTCAATCACTAATTCTTCAAGGTCTGTTTCAAGATGTCTCTCCTTGACATCCGAAGAGACAGTACATTTTAAAAACATGGTGACCAACTGAATCTGAATCTGGAGAATGCCAAAAGTATAGACCCCAAAGCCTCTCAAAGGACTACTCCAAAATGATAACAGCCTTAGAATTGGGAGAATAAACATTAAATGCAATATTCTATTAATATTGCAAATATTCTATTAATGTGTTAACCACACTGAGGAAACGTTGACGCTGTAGAAAAATGATGGAAGATGTAAAAACACAATGTTAATGAAGATGTGAATAGCCAATCTGATTGTAGGTGAGTGCATATTATCTTCATGGTAATAGAGAGACAGGCAGCACTGTTAGAGAGACAAGGCAGAAGAGAGGATCTAGAAGTAATAGGATCTTCATTTCTTTTGCTGCTTCCCACAGCCCACGTTCTCTGTCACCTGGTCAATTTCCTCATTTATTCATTGAGTCATGACATGTTTAGTGAGTGTCTCCAGTGGGTAGGGCATATGGGAGCACTAAGGACAAGAATACAGACCCTGTCTCCAGAGATCTCAGAATTCAAGGCCAAGCAGAAAAACCATCACAAAACAATGTGAGAAGTATATTTAAATCATATGTTTCAGCTATTCAGCACATTTTTCTACCAGCATCTACTGTGTGCCAGGCACTGTGTTAGGTCCTGGAGATACAATATCAAATGAAACAAATAAGGCCTGAGTCTTACAGGCTCAAAGATCAGATTCTCACTAATGAGTCCTAAGTGTCTGATCATTTAGCTGGGGGATCAAAGTGGGATGAATCATGAACTTAGGGATTTGGGCCAATACCAAATGTCACTTAGGGTTACACAGTCCTTTTCCCATTTGAAAAAAGAAGAAGACAGACAGATTAGGGTTTCTTCCAGTTGGGACTCTCTGCCTCAGAAGTTGATGCCACTTGTGATTTGAGTCCCCTGAGACTCTTAGAGCTGCCTGGCCCAGAAGACAGGGACTGTGCTGCTGGCCCCAAGGGCTTAATTATTAGCTGGAAGAAAAGGTGACTTAAGTTCCATGACAGAGGAGAGAGGAAAAAACTAGGGCTTGCAATAAGCCTAGCAAATTATGGAAGAAAATGAGCCAGTGCATTTCTAAGTCAGAATCATCCCCAAAGAAGGAATGATGGCTTGGATTTCTCCCACCCCTCCCTACCCCATCCCTGTCGAACGGGGCCACATGAGAAACATTTCCAATAGGACACTAGGATATCTTCCAAAAGAAACGTTTTCCCAGAGAGGGAGGCTGGGGACTGAGGGTCCTGTTTCACAGATCACTCTGGCTAGCAGGAGGGAGTTACTGCAGGCCGGAAGTGATTCACCATAGCCCCCAACTCTGCCACCTCTGGGAGAGAAGTGGTGTCGTCCTCCATGTCACTCATCCAGCTCTTTGTGGTCACATCAACGTCAGTGTGAATTTGTATTAGAAAGTGTCACTTCGCCTGGGATGGAGAGATGCTTGCCTGTCTGTGGCCAGTACCACTTTTAGGCCACTCTCCTGGAAACTGTCTTACTTTTGAAGCACTTAAGAAAGGCCTCTGTTTTTAAAAACTGAGTTTGAAATCTTTCTCCTTTGGTGTTTCAGTAACCATCAAAAGAATGGGGGCTTTTTGTTTTTGTTTTTCCAGTGCTCCTCTTCTAGACCACTTAGCTTTACTTCTGTTTCGTTTAAAACTTACCAAGTGATGACTTGCTAAGATGGAGTCATATGACAGCCAAGGTTAGGAGCCTTTTCTGTTCTCCAAGTGCCTTCCTCTCCCATACTTCTTTGTATTGATATTCAAATAGACTTACCTCTCAGAATCTTGGTCCCAGACTCTCTTTTCCTTTTCCTTCTCAAATATAAATCTCTATAGGAAATTGTCTTTGTGTTTAGCTTGTGAGTTTTCGATACATTCATCCAAAGGGGAAAGGATTTGAGTCAAGAGTATCTGATTTTTTGTTCTCTAGGATCTTTGCATTTTTGTCATATGTTTTCTTCCCTGACTTTCTTCTTACTTGGGAATTGTCAGCCTTACCCTGGAATTCTGTTCATTGAAACGTGTCCCTCAGTTACAGGCTTCCTAGCTTGTGGGTTTTAGGTTTCTGTTTAAGACGCCATATTGCTTTGAGAAAAGTTTGGGAAAACAGGAAAAGCTGAAATATATAGTGTATTGTGACAGACATTTTACCTGAGACAACTTACCAGGTGTTTGGGGGAAGCAGGAGACAGGTAGCAAAGGATAAAGGGGGAACATGTTTCTTTCTCTCCTCTGCTTCCCAGGCTGGATTCAACAATGTAACCTGGCAGGTCCCTTTCCTCTTTCAAGTCCAGCCATTCTTGGGCCACCTGCCAAGTCTTCCTCCTGCTTTTCATGGGCGCCCTCCCTTGGGGCTTCCAGCCAGCCAGCTCCAGTCCCAGCCCTTACATGGAGCAGTTTCCGCTTCTCCCAGACCACACTCATCTCTCCCTTCTCTGCACCCTGGTGCACGTGTACTTTAGGCCCTCCTCATCCACTAGTTGAAATCCGTCTCATTTGTAGAAGGAACAGGTTGCAGGGTTTCTGAGTAATCTCTGAGGGCCTATGATTTCTTTTCTTTTAAAGAGAATTACTATGCACTGGTGAATTTCACCCTTCATTTCCCAGGTAACTCCACCAATTTCTTAGGCCTTAGCAGGATCTGAGAAATAAAATGATCTAAAAATCTCCATGGGCATCACTTCTCGGAGGTCTGGCCTTGCATTAGTATAGGTCCAGCAGATGGTGACTGAAGCAGGAGCAACCACATCTGGCCCACTTCTACTCTGATACTCAGCCTTTCTGAAGACCCAGTTGGCATGGTCAATGCCTCACTTAAAAAATCACCTATTTTGTGAATTCTGTTTTTTCTAACCCCCACCAAGATTAGTCAAAACTGGGATTTGATCTGGGTAATGTTAGACCAGGTATGACTCCATCCCACCTTTCTTTAGTGAGGTCCGCTGGGAGAATTCAGAGCCTTAGGACTTGGATTTTTGAAAACAGATTTTTAGGAGATGACATCTATCCCCTTTCTCTGTTAGCAGTGCCTTCGTTTTAGATAGAGATTAATTTCCTAACTAGCCTGGGCAAGAAACCTATTTTGTAGGCATTGTGAGATAAATAAAACCCAATCTTTACCACCATTCAACTTCCACCCACTAGCCCCCCACAAAATACTCCTGCAGACAAGAGCAAACATTGGCTCCAGGAATGTAAACAATTAGGAATTCACTGAGGGGCTAAGGGGATGTTTCTGTGGCTGTTTGAATGCATTCTTCATTATTTAAGCTTAAATGTGTTACTTATTTTTGTGGATAAATTTCATGGTTAATACCAAAGATGAACAGTACAGGAGGCTTTAAAATGAACTCCAGGCACTTTTTGAGTTCATGTTCAAAGGGAAACCCCAAAGCTTTCTACAAATCATTGTGTTCCAGAAAGATACATCTCTGTCGTGGCTCTGAAGGATTCATTATCTAATATTTTAAGCTTTTGTAGTATGGAAATATAAGGGAGACTATTTTCCTATCTATACTCAGATTCACAGACTTTTCAATCATAACAGAAATATTCAATAGCTTCTATTAAAAGTGGATCCCAGAAGATAATGTTTATTCTTCTTATCACCCACTGTACCACTTGGTACGTAGTAGGTATGCAAAAAATGTGACCTATACAAATAAAGGAGTGCCTGCAATGATTCCAACACACTTTGCTTAATGTGTGTGAAATATTGATGACTATTTTGAACTGAGTAATGGGCAGAATTTCTGTTAGTTTTCCTTTCTTAGCACCTTGTTATGTTAAAGAGTAAATACTAAGCCTGCAGGAGTTAAAATAGGATTGTCTAGCAGGTAGAACTGAATGCCAAGCCTCTTCTCAGGCTGTTTATAAACACAAGCCCTCTGTGTCTTTTGGTTTCCCATCTGCTTAGATGCCCAGCCTACAGAAGGAGAGAGGGAAATATGGAACCAGATCAGCGCCGTCCTCCAGGATTCCGAGAGCATCCTCGCAGACCTGCAGGCTTACAAGGGCGCGGGGCCAGAGATCCGAGACGTATGCCAATAATAATAATACTGAGCTGACAGCACCCTTGGTGGAGAAAGGAAACCCATGCACGCACACACACAGCAAGATTAAGTAATAGCCCTAGTGTTTCCTAGCATACTAGGAAGAACAAGGAGGGTAATGTGTCCTTAAAAAATGTATGAATGGTCCTTTTTATTCTAGTACGCTGATCTGAGCACACAGTGCTGTAGACTGTGTAAAGTGTTAGCCATTCTCTTCTCCAACATACATTTGATATTGCAGGACTCACATTTAAACAATAATTTGTCACTGTGTTACTTCATATAAGGGAAACATACATATGAAATCTACGAACAACAATTGAAATATGATTCGTAGTCTGGGTTTATATGAACTTTACAAAAATTTGTAATAATTTTGGCAGGTTCTACTAGTATCATAAACAAGAGTCATAAAAGATCTCGTTTTAAGTAGTCTGCTCGTCTGTCGTCTTGAAATGACATGTGAGATTTTAAAAATAAATGCAGGGAAAACAAAACAACAAACAAAACAAAAAAAGAAAATTGTCAGTGTGGCTTCTGAGACTCCATAATGCCTTCAAGGCAAGAAACTTCACACTCCTTTTGTTTGAAATAATTAGTTTTGTGGAAGTATCAGCACACACACACACTGCCACCACCATTTTCTGAAAAACAAAGCAAAACATAACAACAACAACAAAAGCACTGCTAGCGTCATAATCCTCAAGCTGCTGAAACCCAGACAAAACAGCATTTCGAAGAAACTAACAGCCTATTAAGAGGTTATTTTTCTACTTAGGGGTCACCGTTTAATTTAGGTAATTTAGGTACCATCACAGACTGGCAGGAATGTAATACATATTATAAAGAAAGGAAAGTATCCACAGAATCTGCACTTCCCAATGAGCACTAGCTCTACTTTAGAAGAATCGAATGGTGATGGAGGAGGACTGAATTGCTTCCAATTAGACATGCATTTTTTTTGCATTGAAGATAAGAGAAACAAGTAAGATGACGTGGTGTCTAATTGCCGAGCCATTTACATTATGTTCAAGGGCTAAAATCGCCATCCTAATTGAGCATCTTGGACCACACTCCAATGAACTGATGTCCATTGAGGAAATACACATTAGCAAAGTACAGCAGGAATCGTATCTTTTTAACTCAAATTCTTTCTCAATCTTAAGTCATTTTGATGGGGAGCGTACTGCTTCTTTTTAAACAGACAATTCCATAATGTTTTGGCAGGCCATTCAAAATCCCAATGACATTCAGCTTCAAGAAAAAGCTTGGAATGCAGTGTGTCCTTTGGTCGTGAGGCTAAAGAGATTTTATGAGTTTTCTATCAGGCTAGGTGAGTATGTGTTTACGGTTTTCATGTCTTACGTGTGAAATTCTGTTACGGCGTTTGAAAGTAGCAGGAAAGGTTCAGGACGTTGGAAACTACCCCAGGTCCGTCGCTGTGCATCGTCAGAGGCCACTTCTACAAAATCACCTGCCATGTCTACTTCTGTCAATCCACCTCAGAGTTTCTTCCCCTGCATTTATTGGTGCATTTAGAGTGTCTTTACTAGTGGGTATCCCTTTGGTTTTGTTCTCAGCTAAGTCTGACTCTTAACAGGTTTACCATGTCTGATCACATTTCCGAAGGACAGAGAAAATACAGGTTACCTGCTAACCCAAAAAGAAGTTGGTTGGCTGGAATCATGTGTTATGTTTAATATAGTAAAATACAAGAAAGACAAACATAACATTCTATCCTTAAGCTTAAAAAAATCTGTGCAGGCACAGGATGGCTTTGCAGAAGCAAGAAGAAAATCAAGTCTGGTTGACAGTAGGCTCTATGTGACCACTGATATGATACAACCCCTCCCCGAACAGTAAAGCCGTCTGAGGTTTCCCTGGCTAATATAATACATCTAGAACGGGGAAGCATGTGGTCATGTTTTACTCTACTTCTGCCATAAGTGAGTGCCACATTTTAAGAGTTAAACAGAGAAACTAAAGTACGCTGGGGGAATAATAGCCATGACGTTGAGAGAACTTGAAGCCAAGACTCAAAGGAAATAGTTCAATGAACTGAACCAGTTTTTCAAGAAGAGGGAGCTTCTGAAGACACTCAGGTTGAAGAGAAATCGATTTCTCTGTTTCTTCCAAGTGTGTGTCTAGACCCAGTGAGCTGAAATCCTAAGGAGCCAACACTCAGCTCAGCAGACAGGAAAAATCCACCTATCAGAGCAGTCCAAGGTCAAGCGAGCTGCCTCAGAAGACAGTTTGTTCCCACAGACAGAAAATGCTAGCGGTGTCCTTGGAAAGAAACGGTAAAAGGACTCTAGGGATGATAGAGCAGGTGCTGGTGAACTCTTCTGTAAAGAGCCAGCTAATAAATATTTTAGGCTTGTGGGCCATCCTATTTTCGTTGCAACCACTCAACCCTGCCATTGTAGCACAAAAGTAGCCATAGTCAATCCCTAGGGAAATGAAAATAAAGCATGGCTGTGTTTTGATAAAACTTTATTTGCAAAAATTGACTGTGGGCCAGATTTAGCCTGTGGGCCATAGTTTTCCTACCCCTGCTCTAGAGGATTGGTTAAATGACTCGGTACTAGGAGAAATACATGGAAGGAAAAACTGGAAGGAAGTTTTAGAAACAGAGAAGTGGGAGCAATGAGACTCTTTTCAGGACAGTAATGGAGGTAGATATGGCAGTGGGTTTGTAGAAAAATATGCCTGGGATTTGATGAGAGTGTAAATGCAGAGAAGAGCTGGAATGACCCAGAAGTCTGTCCCTGCAGAGCAGGTTATTTACCCCACGCATTCAGGGCCACCTCATCTCATCCTGGCTTCTGAATGGCTATCTCGTGCACATGATCCAAAATCACCTCTTTGTGGTTTTCTAACAGTGTGAGGAATTGGGATGACAGAACATGTGAGGGTCCGGCTGAGCCCTGGGAGACATTTACAAGACTGTGTGGCCCCGGGGCTCTTCTCCAGTGGAGGCGGAGCATGGGGGGCTCCTTTTCCTCCTTACCCACACATGTCACATCTCACACAGTTCTGCGGGAAAAGGTGGAGTGGAAAGACTCAAGCAGGTTATCTCTGAGAATGTCAACTGGGGCTTCAAATTGTGCTTTTTGAAAAGATCTCTGCGGGCCACCTCAAATATGTCTGTATCCCTTTGACTTCCAGAAAAAGCTCTTCAGAGTTTATTGGAATCTCTGACCTGTCCACCCTACACACCAACGCAACACCTGGAGCGGCAGCAGGCCCTGGCCAAGGAGTTTGCGGAAATTCTGCATTTCACCCTTCGATTTGATGAACTGAAGGTTAGGCCGCGTGCGCTTGGGCAATTTAACAAATTCCTACTGAGCACCTAGGTGTCCAGGTGCTCTGCAGTGCTGTGCGGCGGGGGCAAGAGAGATGAGTGAGCTGTAGCTCCTTCCCTAGAGAGGCGTGTCATGTGGTGAGAATTTGAACTCCTTGTGGTCAAAGTGATTGAAGATGGTGGTTTCTACATGGAAATTCAAAATCTGCCCAATGCAACCAGAAAAAAGCATTTCAAATGTCTCTTCCTCTTTGGGAACAAGTATACTTTCCCTGAAATCTAGCCTAGGGTAAAACCAGGGCATTATTTATTTATTTATTTATTTATTTTTTTTGCGGTATGCGGGCCTGTCACTTGTGGCCTTTCCCGTTGCGGAGCACAGGCTCCGGACGCGCAGGCCCAGCGGCCATGGCTCACGGGCCTAGCCGCTCTGTGGCATGTGGGATCTTCCCGGACCGGGGCACGAACCCGTGTCCCCTGCATCGGTAGGCGGACTCTCAACCACTGCATCACCAGGGAAGCCCTGAGTATTTATTTTTAACCGGAAGTTGCTTTGACTCTTGCGTAACAAAGAGAAGTTCTGGTATCTGTGCAGAATCTGGTGTCCGGGCTTCTGATGCATATCCTGCACCTGATGCTGAGAGATGACCTGCTTTCCTCCCTTCTGAATTTCAGATGAGGAACCCGGCTATTCAGAATGACTTCAGCTACTACAGAAGGACCATCAGTCGTAACCGCATCAACAACATGCATGTGAGTCTCCGGAGCTCCCAGGTTGACACACGCATGCTCCAGGCATCGGGAGGGGCACAGGGAGAAGACAGAGCCTTTGTCTGTAATTCCATTTCCAGAGGACACTGTTTTGAGATGTTGACCATCTCTTTATCAACCGCATCCTCTCGTCTTCTTTTCATCAGCTAGACATTGAGAACGAAGTCAACAATGAGATGGCCAACCGAATGTCCCTCTTCTATGCAGAAGCCACACCGATGCTGAAAACCCTCAGCAACGCCACCATGCACTTTGTCTCCGAAGTAAGCGACGTTGAGCAACGAGGTGCCTTTTGCCCGATTGCATGTAAAAGCTGCTAACAGGGCTAATACCCATTTGTGTCTCCCATTTAGAACAAAACACTGCCAATAGAGAATACCACAGACTGCCTCAGTACGATGACGAGCGTTTGTAAAGTCATGCTGGAGACTCCGTAAGTTAAATCAGAGGTGTATTCGTGGTCAAGAGTTCACCTGTCTCTGTGATGATGGTGATGGTGGTGACCACATCTAACGTGTGGGTCAGCATGTTAACATCTACGTATATATTAACTGAATTAATTTCATAAAGAATTCTGGGTGCGAGGTGTAGTATCCCCATTTTAGAGCTGAGGAAGATGAGGCCTAAATTGATTAACTGACTTCTTCCCAAAGATTGCATAGCTTGTTAGATGGCAGAATCAAACGTCAAATCAAAGATGCAGGAGAAGTTGTATGAGGATCAAATGGAAGATTGGGGTAGATGACTGGGTATGTTATAAGTATATTGGAGAAAGGATTTGAGAGAAGATGTAGAACGAAGAGTGGAAGTGGTAAGGCTATTGCAAAAATGATGATGAAGATCTCTCTTTCTCTCTCTCTCTCTCTCTTTCTCTCTCTCTCTCTCTCTCTCTCGTGCATGCAGCAGTTTCCTTGCACTTAAATTACTTGCTAGATTTAAAAAATGGTTGAGTTTGTTGAGGTTGAGGCAGTATGGTAATGAGAAAACCTACACTCCAATGTCAGGGTTCCACTTATTCCACGTATGTCTGTAGCCCCTTCTGTGCCCATAAACAAGTGGTCTGACCTGCCTGGACCTTGGTTTCCTCATCTGATGAGGTTCCCATAATACCATCTATGACGCAGCGAGTTTGGGAGGCCCAAAGGCACCAAGAGTGCCTTATAGAATTTGGTGCTCTGTTCAAAGGTAAGGTGGTGTTAATTTCAGATAGTTCACTTATATTTAAGATTTATTCCAAGATGGAAATAGTAATCATCATTGCTGTGGGGACAAACGTAATGAGGTAGATGTTAAGAAAGCCTCTAGGATTGGCTTGAATTACCTGAATCATCAGTGACCCTGTCAAGGTAGGTGAACAAAATGCAAACTCCACAAATACTCTTAGCCCAATGAATGGTATGTAATTTCTGGTAGGTACCTTTGCCAGTGTAATTCAACCTGCAGCCTGTATCTTCACAAAGGAAGTTACCCAGACTGGAGACACGGTAGCTGCTCTATAGAAATGAACTTGATTCGTTTTCTCCATAATGAAGCCATTATTCTCTATAATCTAGGACAGCCAGAGAGACCTGCTATAAAATATTCAAGATTGATGGGCGGGGGACTTATGTACACGATGAGCTGGCTCGCTGAGGGCAGAAGAGAATTTACTGCCCTCTAATTTACCTTGTTTTCACAATGGTCAGATAGACTCAAGGAGAATTACCATCGCTGGTTTCTTTAAGAGCTTATTAACCTGGTTCTGCAGGTCTGGAATTGTTCTCCAGGGAGGAGGATAGGAGGAGGCTAAAGTAGCCATTTGTGGAGCCAGAGATGAACGTGCTCTGTCACGGAGGTAATATCTCTGCCACTTGTCCTCTCTTCCAGGGAGTACAGGAGTAGGTTTACAAGCGAAGAAACGCTGATGTTCTGCATGAGGGTGATGGTGGGGGTCATCATCCTCTACGACCACGTCCACCCCGTGGGAGCTTTCTGCAAGACATCCAAGATCGATGTAAGAATAGTTACGAACTGTGATTTCCCAATAAGAGCTCATAAATGTTGTCAAACAGACCTTGCTTCCCTCTCTCCCTCCCCTCCACACTCCCTACCCCCCGCCCCGGGAGTGAACTCTCCCAGATGCAAGCCCCATCGTGGCAGCTCTCCTCGTAGCAAGAAGTCCAGTCCTGTTCATATGTTTGCAGCAAACACATCCAACCTCAGAGACACAGCAGGAATGTGGAGGTGCTGATTCCCTCAGCCTGTAGAGGAGCTGAGAGGTAAACAGTCCCCTAGCTGCAAGCTGCCCCTTCAGCTTACCTAGTGTGCCATATAAATATATATTTTTATATGTTATATGTGTCTCATCCTAGATTACAAGACACCAGTCAAATCCCAAACAATGTTCCAACTTCCTCTCCCACCATCCCTGCAGATGGCTCTGCCTGATTCCCATGCCTTTTCTTGTCCTTGGAATATGCTTGAGCCCTTTTCTCTGCCCAGAGTGCCCTCCCTCTTCTCTGATGGGGGGATTCTTTTAAGACACTCCTCACATGTCACCTCATTTGGAGCACATCTCCTGTGCCCCGCATGGAGCAGAGCCTTGCTTCTCCTCCGGGCCCAAAGCGCCTACCATTTTGGGTTTTCTGACTCCCTCATGGACTCTGAGTTTGTTGACAAGGGCAGAGACCAAGATCTGTATACCTAATGTCTGCTTCATTGCCTGGCAGTATCCTTGGTACATACAGCACGGCGCTCCATAGATACTCCATATAGCTTTTGCTGAATGAATGGATATGATTGGAAAACAAATGATTGTGGTTTGCAGGTGATTTCCTGTTGATTGTGGGATAAAACAGGCTCCTCTCAGCCCAATGTTTGCCTGCAATGGCAGCCAGTAGCGTATCCCTGTATTAATTTAAAGGCTTTTCAGTACGGAATAGGACCTCTTGGTACCGACTTATTCTGACGCGGCTCAGTCGGGGCGTGCGTACTCTATGCTCGTTCATCCATACAGAACAGCATCTCTGATGCCCTGGTTCTGTGCAGACAGAAGGTCCATGTGCCCAGAGGGGCCGTGAATCTAAAGATTGTAAGAAAATGTATCAATTAATAATGCAACTTGGATTACTCATTTTGAGGTTCTGGCTCCCTAGCATAGCTAGCCATGGTTCTTCAGAGAGTCTTCATTATTTTTAATGTAATTATTTCTGTTTATCAAGAAAATAAATACTTATATAACAGTTCTGGGAAAATACAGGAAATCAAAATACAGAAAATTGGGACTTCCCTGGTGCCCCAGTAGTTAAGACTCCATGCTTCTGCCGCAGGGGGAGTGGGTTCGATCCCTGCTCAGGGAACTAAGACCCCACATGCTGCACGGGGCAGCCAAAAAAAACAAACGAACCCAAAACACAGAAAATTACATTTATCAGTGGTAACCTCACCATGGACGGATGACCACCGTCAATATGTCACATATATATGTCCCTTCATTTTGTATAGATGTTTGTGTGTGTATATACTTAACAGATTAGCACCCTGCCACAATTTCTATTTTAAAACATATTTAATTTGCATAACAGTATATTATGGAAGTTTTTTCATACCAATAAATATTTTTACTGTATTCTTTGTGAGGCTTTAATGTTTTTATGCTATAGATTAAGTATAAATAGCTCCATTAATAACCCGTGAATATCATTTGAATATGGATTGAATTTATTACCTAGTACTCATAGGACATTCTCATTTACCACAGTCTTTTGTTAACTTGTCACAGAGTCAGTAATTAAAAATACGTCTTGTAGCCCTAACCATTATGTCTTGTAGCCCTAACCTTTAAAAAGCTTGTCCTTGCTTGTTATTTACTAAGTCTTTCTGCTGAGGCTATAAACGTTATATAATATTAGATCTATCCCTACCCAGTCTTGATGACGTCCATTTGTTCACGTATGTCTCACTAAGAAGGTTTGTTCGTAGAAGTTTATATGTGTCTCGAGGAAAGTTTCAGGTTTACGGAGCACAACATGTACATGATGGGCCATTTTTCTTTGATGATATAAGGGTTTCTTTCCAGATACCAGTCTGCTTCTAAGCCAGCAGCTACTTGCACTGTTTTATAAATCCTTAGGGTATCCGCATCAACTGTGAAAAAGCAAATATTGAAATAGATCCTGTTACCTGCGCTTACAAAGAATGTGTTCTGTAGTCCAAAATGGAGGTACCGAGCTCTAGAAACCCAGGTGAGGGAGAAACTCATTCTGCATAGAGGCAGAGACAGAGGGTGACGTTTCAGGTGGGTCTTGAGGATTTTTACCAAATGGACAGATAGAAGGAAGAGTACTCCAGGCGGAGGGAATCATCAGAGCAAAGTCATCGAGGCCCAGAGGGATATGCATCATTTAGAGAACTGATGCTAATCGTGGGTGTCAGGAAAGCAGGCTGGAGTGACATGACATTTTCAACTGATTTCCTTAAACTTGTATGGAATGATCCAATATAGAATCACTCCTAAACCGTGGTCCCCAGCCCAAGCCTCACCCAGAATTCCAGACACCCCCTCATTTGGACACCTGAGGCATGGCCGGCCTCAAATCAAAGGTTATCCTTTCCCCCACAGACCTGCTTCTCCTCCTCCTGGGTTCCTGTCTCAGGTATTTCACCTTCCTGCAACTCAGTCTCAAAGCCAGAAACGTGGGATTGTCCCTCAGGACCTAGGAACTGTCTTCTTCCCTCTTCACCTTCACGCCTTCTCCATCACCACGTCCTGTGACCTGGACCTCAGATGCATCCTCCCGTCTTGCCCTGACCCTCCGTGCCCACTGCTGCTCTCACACCCTCCCCCTCAGGGGCTCCCACTGGCCCTCCCGTCTCCAGTCGTGCTTCCTCCGATCCCTTTCAGTATGAATCACATTACTAGATTGTTTAACACCTATCACGGGTGTTTTCCACAGGTAAAGGCCCCCAACTCCCGAACATGCTGTTAAACCCACATTGAATCTGGCCCTGACTACACCTCTGGCTGCATCCTGATATTCACACTCAAGGCTTTCATCAGCCTGAAATAGAACTCGAAATTTCCAGAGTATCCACTGCTCTTCTGCCTCTTGTCTCATCTATGGCCCCGTTCCTCCTTGGGCACTTTTTACAAGAACACATATCACAGGATGATAATGAGCTATTTGTCTCTCTTCTCCCACTAGACTATGAGCTCTTTCGGGAGAGGGACCAAATCTCTTCATTCTGAGCTTGACCCCATTCTGCACCTATGACAGGCATCTCTGATTGACCACGACATTCTTTATGGATGAGCCTAAACATGCCCCCAAATGATTCTCAACCCTGGGCTTCTGGCTGCCCCCATCAATCCAACAGAGTTTATCAGGCCTTTAGGAAAAACTTGCAACATACAAGAACATTTTTATAAGTGACCTTTATAAAAGAGGCCCTTAGTACAGTATACCCAAATCAGTGCATGAACATCTGAGCTTAAATGAGTGATGGTGTTCTTTCCAGATTCTTCCTTCGCAAAAAAAAAAGAAAAAAGAAAAAAATTGTTAAGTTGTTGAGTTTACCAGTCAAACAGCTGAAGGAGGAAAAGCATTCTGGGCAGAGAGATGACATAAAGCGATCAGGTTTGCAATTCATTCAGTCAGTCTCAACTGAGCACAGGCTAGAGGAGGAGCTCTCCCCTTGACTCTCGAGTCCAAGACAAGAAAATCAAAGTCTCAGGTCGTTGTCCCCAGAAGTCAGACACATAAAATGTTCGATTGCAGTATAATATGAAAACTGGCACAGAACCTTCTAGAAGCCCAGAAAAACAACTCACTGGCCTGAGGGGGTAGGAAGGTGTGTTGGACATTTCTGAGTTTGATTTCTATGGGAAGAAATAATATATTATTATGAACAGATGTTGTTATGGACAGGTACTATGATGGAATTACTGGGGTATTAACAAACTCTCATGCTTTCTTCTAGATGAAAGGCTGTATAAAGGTGTTGAAGGAACAGGCCCCAGACAGTGTGGAGGGGCTGCTGAACGCCCTCAGGTGAGCCTCAGCCCTGTGGGGCAGCCAACCCTTCTGAACCATTGCAAATGTAGGTGCTGTTTGGGTCCGAGGGCTAGAACGCCAGGCTTAACCCCTTTGCATCTGTTAATACATGTCATCTTCCCAACTGCCTGTTGAGGTCAGCCCCATTTTTATCATCCCCTTTTTACAGATGGAAGAAACTGAAATTTAGAGAAGTCAACTCACTTGGCAAAAGTCACACAGCAGATGGCTGAGCCAGGATCTAAACCCAGGCCTGGGTGACCCCGCAGGTCAAAGGCCTAACTCCCAGCCACAGCGCTTTGTGGTTGGTGGGGACTTGCAGAAGAAGAAGCTTCCCCGGTCTCACTTCCCCCTGCACCTGTGGTTCCCAAACCTGGCTGCTCAGGAGAATTATGTGGGTAGCTTTTGAAAACACTGATGCTCAGGGTCCAATCCAGGCCAAATGAGTTCGAATCGCTGGGCTAGGGCCTCAGGCATCCATTTTGTGTTTGTGGGTTTGCTCTGAAGGTCCCTGGGTGAGTCGTACGTGCAGCTGCCAAAACTGAGAACCCTGCTGTCCCCTGCCTGGATGCCCTTGTAGCTGGCTAGTGTTCCTGCCGTCTCCTCACTGCTAACGCGTCATGCCCGAGCACCTGCTCTCTTCCCAAGGACACGTGCGCTTAATCCACTCCAGGGGAGGTATTCTTGTTTCTTAGCTGTGACATATCCACAGGAGTTTGCTGAATCATGACAGTCGGGATTGTAATCTGGAAAGTTTATGGTCCCTGCTGTCTCATTCATCTGAATGATTCGTCATCATCATTCAACTGATTTCCCTCAGTTCCTTTCAACTTCATGCATGTAGTAAATGTTCAATAAGTATAAGTGAGATGGAGCCGTGATACTCTACGCACGTACAACACACATGTTTCCTGCTCTCATTTAATCATCACAAGTCAGAGTGATAAGATCTGTTACCCCATCTAATAAATGAAGAAACTGAGATGCACATGAAATGAATAATTATACACTGAGGCTAATCCTTTTTCATGAAGTTGCTAGGTCATCATTCTTCAGAAGAGATGTAGCTTTAACCCAAGAGCCTTCCAGATTCTGTGGGTAAACCGAGGTTTTCTCCATTGGTGCCCATTTCACAAAAGGCTGGCTTTCCACACTCAGTAAGAAGACTTTGGCTTCTGTTGCTTGTTTCTTTTGCTTTCCAGCATCATTCAGTCAAGCAGAGCTTCGAGAGCAGGGCACTGCGGTAGGCTGTGAGTTCCATCCGAACCTCGGCATTTGGTGTCTCCTGTAGACACTGTGAGGAAGTCAAAGAACTCAGGTTTTTGAGGCAGAGGCAGACCTGGATCCAAATCAGAAATCACAAATTACAAATTGTTTACAAATCATACATCGTTGTATTTGTCATCTGGAATGGGTCTTTTAATGTCTCCAAATCTCAGTTTGCACATCTGTAAAATGGAGGCAATAACCTGTCCTACAAAGAGTTAGTGTGAGTGGAAAACTTCCATGGAGTGCTTGGGACGCGGTCAAGATTTTATTACATGTTACTTCTCTTTTCCTTTCTTTTCATGAACTATTTCTACACCAGTTAATGTGAGGAGACAAACTACACCACTTTTCTTCAGTATATGGACCTGCCATCGTGCCCCCTTGTGGTGGCAAGGAGGACAAGCATTCCCATAAAAGTAGAAAACCCTAACAGTTTAAGTGTTGGGTAAAGTTGTTATATGCAAACCCATATTTTAATATTTGTGACTCAGCAGGGGTGGCCTAGATGGCCAAGATCCTGCACTCAAGCACGTGAAGTCTGTCTCCCTGGAAAATGAGAATGCTTGTGTCTCCTCCGTGAAATTATTTGATTAGGTGGAAGATCTACTTGTTTAATAACCATAACATAAAACTCCTTTGGAAGGAAGGATCAAATATTAATTCTGAGACTGCTCTGGGCATTGAAGTGTGGCTCTTTGTCTAAAGAACCAATGCCAAGTTTGATTTCTAAATATGAGTTATGTCTCCCAAGCTAAAGATGAGCTGGAGAGTCACGATCGAAGCTTTCTCAGAGTGCTGTTTGCACACTGACCGCCATCCTTTTCTCTCCATCCAGGTTCACTACAAAACACTTGAATGATGAATCGACTTCCAAACAGATTCGAGCCATGCTTCAGTAAAGCTTTGCTCAGTGAAGAGGATCTTTGAACTGACCTCAGAAGATGTATATGTTTACATAATTTAATACAGATTGATGTTAATACTCGTGTATTTACATAACCGTTTCCTTCTTGTCCCTGAAATATATGGACCTTAATTTGTATCCTGACTGACTCAACCCAGCAGAGCATAAATTGACTGGAGAGCCTTATCTTCGATGGCTGAAAGGAAAACCCCTTCTCCAAAAGGAAAATTTTGGAGACATTGATCTTTGCTACTGGAGTTCCTTACACCTTTAACAATCAGAAATTCCTAATAGCTTGTGGTCATGTTTTAATTCTAGATGTGTAATCTCTCTGGGAAGTATAGTTATAGAAACATGAAGTATTTGATTTCCTGGGACAGCTCAACTACAAGAAACACAGCTGTTATCCTGCCAGAGAGAGAGGGATCCCAGAAAAGACAAATGCACGTGGAGACACAAAGCCAAGTGTTTGGAATTCAGCACACCCCCTCTCTTCCCTCAGACAGCGCAGCACACGTGCAACTTTTTTGTTGCATGTATTTTATTTATCAGCATACTCTCTTCCTGTTTTGCTTTATACCCCCTAATGTTCCCTTTCCATTTTGCAAGAGGAAAAATCAGCGTGTTTGCATCAGTTCATGGGAGGGAAGCAAGGATAGATAGATGTGCTGTTGTGGATGGGTTGGTGGCTGTCGTGGAAGTGGGGCACAGGTGGGGAGGAAGGGCACCCAGGCGACAGGACAGTCATCTCTCTGCTTCAACCCTCTGTCTCCAGGGACAGGGAAATGGAGCTCTGGCTAAAATTGTGGGTAAGGTTGCTAACATTCCTGTTGTCTGTGGAGCACTGCGTACACACCCCATCCTAATAGGAGCCCCGTCCTCTGGGGACCATCCATGTGGCAGCAGAGATCTAGACACTTAATTAGTTACCAGAAAACTAGAGGAACTTAGAGGGGAGATTTTCGTTTTCTGGTTATCTAATATTTAAATGGGAGCTCCTTTATGACCCAACTGCTAGCTTGTTGCAATGTATAAACTCTGGCTTGAGTACCTGGATTAAGTCCTAGCCCTGTTGATTCACAGAGTGATCTTGGGAAATTCACTTAAGTTCTCTGTGTCTCACTTTCCTCATCTATAAAATGGGCAAATAAAACAGATAATCTCCTGTAGTCCTACAAGACTATGAGCCACTAAAAAGACTGACTCTCACATCCTTCCTGTGTAAGTAGAGTCCAGTAAGCATCACCCCACCTTGTCTTGATGCTTAGCAGTTTGACAAGGGTCATTGTGTCTGCAGACAGAGCTTAGAATGGAATCTTGGAAATCTATTCTGGTCTCCAAGTGGGAAAATGAGACAGAGGATGAAGTCTAACAGGATCACCCCCATGTAGGACTAGAACCCAGGATGCCTCGTTGCTGACTCCATGCCCTTTCTTTTTCACCACGTGGCCTATGCATACATACTATGGGGGTGATACTGGACGCTTTTAAATAAACCCTCGGCCTGAACCATATAATTGCTTGCCTATTTCTGATGGAAGGAAAGAGTTGCCCAGGGAATGGTAATTCCCAAAGTTGGGTTTGGTTATATCAGGGTTTGGTGTCATTCACAATGTCCCAAGGAATGCGCTGTCACACCATTACTTTCCTGACTTTGGTGGCCAGCTGGCATTCCCTTGAGTCCTCCAAGAAGAGGAGAGACATACTTTGGTTTTGTTTATGTTTCACAAAGAAATCCAGTCAAGTGACAGAACAGATTACCCAGTCTGTATCTAAATGTCAGTCAACAAGGAGAGGAAAGGCCCTTTTCCTTGGAGCTTTTCCAGCTGAACAAGTACAGCTGCTTGGATGAGGGTTCTCTCATCAGAACAGAAATGCACTAGATGGCTTTCAAGACCTTTCCAAACCTAGGCATTCTAAAACCCTAGAGGAAGCCAGAAATTAGGATAACACTGGGTAAACAAATTCATTAAATATTCAGCTTAAGAAATGTTCTTTTACTTGGCAGGCCCATGTTATCTTTGGGAAACAACTGTCAAGACTAGGAGTATAGATGCACTCAATGTTTATCGTCACTGGGTTTACTTTCCTCCCATATCAGGGAAGGAGATTAAGTCTTGGAGAGGGGAAAGGACTTGCAGAGTAAATAGTTGAGCACGTTTATAATTTTTAATTAGACTTTCTATCAAATGGGACCAAACATAGGGGAGAGGCTGCCAGTCTGCCCCGATTTAGCCAAGCCACCTTGTTTCAAAGCCAAGATTCACTAGTACGTGGATTCTCAAAAGCCCAGGACCTGAACTATTGCCTCTGACTATCAGGGGGACGGTTAACTGAATGTCTGTGATCACTAACAGGTGATGGGCCTTGGGTCCACTCCGGAGCTATTGTGGGAGACAAATTCTTTTAACAGACTGTCCACCAGGCATCAGACATCCTTGAAAAATCACAGCTTTTTGTGCTGCATGCACATGTGTCCACAGCCTGTGAGTGGTTCAGGGGAAAGTGCTAGCCACAGTATCCATGTCAATGTTAACTATATTTCATATTTCATGTCTCATCGTTTTCAAATAAAAGTGTTTTCCATTACTCAGATATTTATTTTGGGGCAAGCAACAAGGTGAAAATTACATTTCTCAGATGCACTGCTACTTTGACATTATAACTTTGTTCTTGGAAACCTTTTATGTGCCACTAGGAATTAGTAAAACAAAGTGACAATGAATGTTTTGAATTGTGGTGGCCCATTGGGGCTGGAGTATTAATTAACAACCAGAAAGGGAATCCTGGATACTATCCTTTAACTATTAGTTAATATCATGCTTCATCGGTGTTTGCTCCTAGCCATCACCATTGTATCAAGTTATTAATGGTAAGCTGAGGTTTTTAATACATCATCACATTTAAATAACAGTAATTTCATGCTTTCTCAAAAGAAAAATGAAGCTCTCTCAATCTTGGAATCTAATGGTGCAGTAGACATCAGAAACTTCTCATTCAATCTTGTATCCCAGACAGATACAAATTTTTCTAGATGTTAATAATAAACATTGGAATTTTATCTTAAAGAAACAAAAACTTTGGAACCGAATTTCCCCACTACACCTATAAAGGCTGTTGCATACACAAAGCTGTTTAAAAGTTGTATATTGTTTGCTGAAGTCCCTGTAATTTTTTTTGCCTGCTTTGCCTCTTTTTGTACAGAAGTTTTGAGTGTGAAATGAAAATTAAAGTTTGGTACATATATTTAAAAATACACCTCTTTTATGTGATGTTCAAGATTAAGTGGGTAGTAAGCACATGATCACGGATACTTACTAAACATAGATATTTGCTAAACACCTCCTCTGTGGACCAGGAAACCACACCAGCTGCCCTTCACCTCTCTATGCCTCAGTTACTTCATATACCCAAAATCTGAAATGCCCAAAATGAACTAGTCTTGGTACCAGCTGTATTTATTCATTTCAGCAAAGACCCCCATTATTTTTTTAAAAAGGCATAAAATACGGAGATACGTGACTGATATCTAGAGTTGCATGAGACCTACTTATTCAAGGATGCCAAGAAATATAAGAGCATTTATTTGCTCTTTTATTTTTTCTCTTGAGTACAGTAGCACTTTATGGATTTGGCAAAATTAGCAAATAGCCTATTCCACAAAAGTTCATTTTTCAGGCAACGTAAACTCTAAAGCAATTCTCTTAACTGTTAAACACTGAAACTTTTCTAGAGCATTACTTTTAATCCCTGAACCTTTTAAGCTAATCACCTAAGACCTAATTGTGTGTGCTTTCAGTGGGTTAGAGTCCCCAGTAGAGACCTTCCATGATACCATATACAAAACACAAAGGGAAATGAATAGGAATGGTAAATTTTCTGTAAATTGACACAAATTATAAACGGACAAAAGCTGGAAAGAGAGAAAATGAAAGGGGCCTTTGAGAGAGAGAGAGAGAGAGAGAGAGAAGAAGGGGAGAGAGAGACCCTAATTAAATAAGTGATGAGAGTCAAAAGACATGAAAAAGAAATGAGTAAGCATAAGTGTAATTGTCAAGAGGAGCACAGCTGGTGAGGAAATGAATATCCTTCATACCAACCAGAAATTTGGTTGTTAATCAGAGTTCTCTTGGAAGGATGGTAAAGAAGAGCTCAGATGGCACATTCCTGAAACCTGGTGAATATTTGCAATCTGTAGTCACCCCTGATTTCGTGCTTTAAGTTATCAGTAAGCAGGCAGAATTTCTAGATGTTTGCTGTTTGAAAGGTGTGTAGGATAATTAGTCATCACAATGTAAATGACCAATTAAATAATACTGTATAATGTTGATTATTTAAACTATTCATATTCATTAAGCACATTAATCTATCCAACACCAAAATCCTGGTTGCTACTAGTAACCTCCACCCTGACTGAGTACATCCTACATGTACCTCTTACTCAGTAAACAGAAAGATCTTGACCTGTGGCTCCAGCTCACAGGTCAAACTCCAAAGAAGGGAATTTTTCTGCCCTGGTCACATCAGGTTCCTGGGACTGTATTTTTATTACTCTAGCTCTTCCCTTGCCTGATGTCCCAGAATTTAGTTTAGAAAGTGCCTTTTAGGCTGAAAGTTCTTGTAAACTCAAAATAGTCTTTTCTCTACAAGATCTTCCAGTTTTCACTATCAAATTGCATATTTCCAGATTCCTCTTTCTCTCTGCCTGCACTTTCTGTTCATTTTAAATTGTCCTTGTTTGCCCCATAACAGGCTTTTTCTCAAGTCAGAAGCTATATTTTATTAACATTCCTAAGCCACCCAAGAGCTATAGTCGTCAATGTTGTGACTCGAGGACTGGTAGTTCTAAAAGGCTTCTTACACCTTGAAGAAGCTTGTCTCTAGAAAATATCAAAAGTACTTGGAGGAGGCTATAAAATTATCTCCCTCCAAATTTCAATAGATTTGAAAGGCTTTTTTTATTCCTTTTGTGTGATAGAAATAATGCTATCACTATGGGGAGAAGTTATAAAGGTGGTGGTGTTACATGTGAATATGGGTGGGGAGGATGAAAGGATAGGGAGCTCTAGGCTGAACCAGGTGAGTATTTACTGTCTCCAAAATGTTGCATGGGCATTTCCACTCCCGTGATGCTGTCTTTAACGCACACCCTCTTCCTCACTGTCTATCTGAAGTTTACTTGGGCTTCAAGTAAACTTGATGATCCACTTCCTCCATGAAGCTTTACCTAACTAACCCAGTCCATGCTAATTCTCTCCTTTTGCCTCCTAATGCATTTAATGTATTTGATGT